ACAAAACTTAACGATCTTTCACTCCCCTAATTAAACTCATAATTATGATCCTCTGCACTGAGCGGCTCTCTGACAGCAGACGGTGTGTCCATGAACAAGTTTTACTAAATATTGTATTATAACCGAAAAGAGAGATGTAACTTCTATCATGAATAAAGACTAGCAAAATAAACTAGAAATTACAATGAAATACTGCTACTTCCGGTGGGCGCCGGAAGTAAGACCCATAATCGTTTCCCCAGTAAGCCATAGTAAGCAGGAATAAAGTGAATGGGGGGGAGGAGTTATGACAATTCTAAGGGCCCTTGACGACATGGGGCCCTCCACAAAAACATTAAAAAAAAAAATTGGGGACCTGTCAATTACTGTTATTGTGTTTTTTAAAATTGTTTTTAGCAGTAAAAATTAAATGTTATCCCTCCCAGACCAAAACGCACACATCTATATTTACATTGAACTCCCCCCTGGATCTGCGTTAAATGGTTCGTTCCTGCTTGGCCGTGATGATTTCAGCAGCAGTCAGTACAAGACAAGAACGACTGTGGCGGTTACTATGCTTCCTAGAAAAACAATAAAGTCAAGTTTTCAAGACGGAGATAAGAGAGAGAAAAAGACAAGAGTGTGAATTTGTAACAGTTTTTCTCCAAGAGATGAGTAGACTGTGAGATTATCAACCATTTAGCATAGTTAGCTTAGCTATAGACTACTGTTCGCCTCCATAGCATTTAATTAATTAAGAAAAAGAAATGCCAAGATATTCATATATTTAACTCTTCCCTGTACCTTTTACCACACTCGACAACAGATGAGTCAGTCAGCAGCAGCTCTAACCACCATACAGCATAAACCCTCTTCCTCCCCGTCCCAGTGAAAAAACTGAGCAACACTGTGTTCAGTAACAAGCTAGTTAGCATCATTCCTGAGAATCCATAGGGATTTCTCTGTGTCTTGCTTTTTTTTTACAATTACACAACAGAAACAATGTATTTGTTGCTGACAGAAAGTCAAACAATCTTTATAAAATAATAATAATAATTTAAAAAAAAACAGCCTCCTGTCTGGACAGCAGCCAGTCCACACAGTTTTACCTTAGCTTACATTTAAATTACAGATATCTGTTGCCACGTCCCTCCTGACCTGTCCTCTCCTAAGTGAGATTAAAGCTGCAGTGGGTAACTTTTATAAAAAAAATATTCAAATATTTGTTGAAGCTGTCATTGTGTTGTGACATTGTGGCATGAGAGATGATTTGTGAAAATTTTTTCCTCTGCCTTCTCCCAGTGCTAGAAACAACCAATCAGAGGGAGGAGGCAGGTTTTAGTGCTGTCAATCACCATCTCATGTGGTGCTGCTCATCCTTCCTCCCCTTCGATTTGTGCTGTGCTGCAGCTAGCATAGCGCAGAGCTGTGCCGATTCAAACTGTGAATGCTGTTTAGTTAGCATAGCTACCAGTGACGGCAGATAAACGGTTTCCTGTAATAAGTTGTTTCTCCGCCATTAGAACATTTAGCAGTGAGTGAATGAGGATGATTAACAGCACTAAAACCCTCCTCCTGGTTCTGATTGGTTGTTTTTGGTCAGAACGGCACATTACGTTAGTTAACAATAGTAGTTCAGGGAGGAGGTGGAGGAGATTGTTTCTACAGATTATCTGTCTCATAGCAAACCGTCTTAACATGGTGACAACTTTAACAAATTATGGAGATAGACTCAAGAAACTGTAACAGTAGTTGCACAGGAGGGACCCAATTAAATTTTTCATCATGGGGCCCAAGATTCCTGGCAGCGGCCCTGATTAGATTACTTCTGTTTTAACATATTTATATTTTATAGTGTGTTTAATAGCTGCTAAAATATTATTTTCAAAAGGTAATATTAATCTGACAAGCCTGATCAGGATATCCTGATTTTTATTGAGTTAGACTGTCTGGTGTTCACATAGAAGTTTTGGATTTATTCTTAGCACTAGAAAAGGAAAGAAAAGAAAAGGCCTTCCACTCAGACTGGGTGCATCAGCCCCCCGCTTCTCCTCATCCCACCATCTTGCAACACAAAGTTACACCCTTCTGTGGCACTAAAGAAAACCATGCACAAGTCTTATTGCAGCTCAAACTATCCAGAGGGATTTCTTTGGTTCTGGTTCTGTGCTGGCCCTGCAGAATCCATTGGTTCCTCTGATGGGGAACACTAATGAAATGTGGAAGGTCTTTAGGGTTCTCCTTGGTGGTAGTTGAAACAATCTGATGTTCTGGTCTGGGTTCGGTTTGTTCTGCAGAGTTTCCTCTGGGGGTCCATCCACCTGCAGATGGAGGACGTGGATTATTACAGTCTGAAGTTCAAACAGAACGGTAAGAAGATGGAAGACCTCCAGAACATCTGGACAATGTGGCAGAAACTCAGGGTTCCTGAAGTTCTTTATAAAGCTTAATGTTGATTGGAGGAGTAGCGACAGTGTTGTTGTAGCACAGAACGGCCTGGTGGGGGCGGTATTGTGTCTGCAGTAACACCATGGTGGTGAAGTCAGCTTCCAGCTACTGGTTTCCATCAGTGACATCAGCTCAGATAATGATGATGATGATGATGTTTCTGTGGCTTTCCTCACTCATGAAGATCCCAGAACTAGAACCGGTAGATCAAAGCCACCAGATGTTTTACATCTTTGTTTTAATGAGACTCAGTTTGTGTTTTTTCCCCATCATGCTCCTGGGCAGAGATGGTCCTCTGTGTCAGGCTGACCAATCCCATCATGCACCTGAACACCAGAAGTCACGTGGTGGAGCTGACCTTTGACCCTGAACACCAGCAAGAGCTGGAGGAGGCCGCAGGGAGAGTCTTCAATGTACCTGTTGCTCCACCTGCATGTTGGAACAGCGCCTCCTGCTGGTCACTGCTGCCAGTGTCTGAGCCATGAGGCGAAGCTTCATCTGAGTAACTGTTGGTGTTTTCAGAAACAGGTGAGTCCATCCGGCGCCGGAGGAGCGGTCCGGACCTCGCCCTCCTCAGACATGGCTCGGTCCTACACCCGCAAGAAGCCGCCAAGCAAGAGTCAGCTGAAGAGTGAGTCAAGTTCTGCTCAGAACCTCCACCCAGATGACCGCCTGACCACCAGACATCCACAGCACCACCATGTTTACTGCCGGTCCTGGACCTGAACTGTCCACGGCTTTATGAACTCATTGTTTAGATCAGAACAAACCATCACATGACCTGGAATGAACCAATCAGAAAGATTCCAACAGCTCTGTCTCTCCCCAGTTCTACCGCTGTCGTCTCCGAGCAGCGAGGATGAGTCCACCTCACTGAAGGTAACCCCGACACCGAGCGACCGACCCAATCACCGACCAAGCTAACAACTAACCGACTTACTTGTTTATCTGGTTCTAACTCTGAGGTTTTGTTTTTCAGCCTACGGCTTCAAACCGAGCTGAAGTTCTGTTTGACCGGATCGTACACTCCACTCCTAAGTTCAGCGGTGAGTCAGTGGTCAGAGTAACCCGGCGGTGACCGGCCAGGGTGGTCTTTTGGTCCATCAGAGAGAATCTCTCAGGTTTCTGGTTCAGCTGCTTTCCAGCCACCGTTGGATCCGCCTGATGGAACCAAGGGTTCAGAAACTCACCTGTCTAACCTAGAGGAGCCCCCATCAGGTGATCTGCAGGGGGCGGAGCTTCAGACGACGCAGCACCTGACAGAGGGACTTGAAGAAGGAAGCAGCTCTCCCTCTAACAAGGTTAATTTCCTGTTTCTGACTGGAGTCAAATGTGAGAAGTTTTTCATGTTTACCTGTTTTTTTGTTCTTCTGCAGGAAAACCTGAGGAAAAGAGAAGCTTCAGATTCAGGTCTCACCTGTTCATTTACCTGGATGATGGCTGCACCAATAAAATATGTTAAAATGAATGATGGTCTCTGTTAGATGCTAGGCTCCAGTTTGACCTGGCTCTGTCCAGAATAACCAACACTCTGAACCACAGGCTACCTGTCAGACCAGGCCGAGGGCGTCGCCCCCTCCAAGAGAAAGGCGGAGCCTCTGCAGGACTGGGCGGAGTCTGAGTTGCCAATGAAAGGTAGTTTAATGTTTAGTTCAGTTTGTTTAATGTTTCTGATGCTCACCTGGCTGCCCAGCAGAGGGGGTGGAGCTAGCTGCAGAGGAGGCTCTTCAGAGTGAGGGGCCGAAGCAGAAGGTGGAGCCAGAGTCACACCTGACATCCGACATCACTGCTGCGTTCAAGTCCTTCAAAGCCCAGCTGGAGCAGCGCTTCACTGTCTGTAGCCACACTTGCTCTCCATCAGTGGCTCTGCTGCTCATCAATAATCAATAATTAACATGGCTGATTGACTCCATGATCTCAGGGCTGCTGGCAGGAGGTCCAAGCTGAGGTTCTCAGGTCCCTGAGGGACTGTCAGCAGCATGCGTCCTCACTGCTCACAGCTGTCCACCAGCACAGGTAAGTCTGACGCCACACCTGCCTCCACAAACACCACAAGCTCCGCCCACCTCCACAAACCTGCCCATCATCATAGACATGTTGTTGATGTTAGTGTTAGTGATGTTAGTCGTTCAGAACACCGGAGAGCAAAGCAGCAGATTTCTCTGCNCCGTTCTCTCCTAAGTGAAATTAAAGCTGCTGTATGTAGCTTTTATAAAAATATATTTTTTCCACATATTTGTTAAAACTGTCATTATGTTGTGACAGTATGGTATGAGAGGTAATCTGTGAAAAATCTATTTCCTCTGCTTTCTCCCAGTGCTAGAAACAACCAGTCAGTGGCAGGAGAGTTTTAGTGCTGTCAATCACAATCTCATGTGGTGCTGCTCATCCTTCCTCCCCCTCGATTTGTGCCGTGCTGCTGCTAGCATAGCACAAAACTGTGAATGCTGTTTAGTTAGCATAGCTACCAGTGACGGCAGATAAACGGTTTCCTGTAATAAGTTGTTTCTCCGCCATTAGAACATTTAGCAGTGAGTGAATGAGGATGATTAACAGCACTAAAACCCTCCTCCTGGTTCTGATTGGTTGTTTTTGGTCAGAACGGCACATTACGTTAGTTAACAATAGTAGTTCAGGGAGGAGGTGGAGGAGATTGTTTCTACAGATTATCTGTCTCATAGCAAACCGTCTTAACATGGTGACAACTTTAACAAATTATGGAGATAGACTCAAGAAACTGTAACAGTAGTTGCACAGGAGGGACCCAATTAAATTTTTCATCATGGGGCCCAAGATTCCTGGCAGCGGCCCTGATTAGATTACTTCTGTTTTAACATATTTATATTTTATAGTGTGTTTAATAGCTGCTAAAATATTATTTTCAAAAGGTAATATTAATCTGACAAGCCTGATCAGGATATCCTGATTTTTATTGAGTTAGACTGTCTGGTGTTCACATAGAAGTTTTGGATTTATTCTTAGCACTAGAAAAGGAAAGAAAAGAAAAGGCCTTCCACTCAGACTGGGTGCATCAGCCCCCCGCTTCTCCTCATCCCACCATCTTGCAACACAAAGTTACACCCTTCTGTGGCACTAAAGAAAACCATGCACAAGTCTTATTGCAGCTCAAACTATCCAGAGGGATTTCTTTGGTTCTGGTTCTGTGCTGGCCCTGCAGAATCCATTGGTTCCTCTGATGGGGAACACTAATGAAATGTGGAAGGTCTTTAGGGTTCTCCTTGGTGGTAGTTGAAACAATCTGATGTTCTGGTCTGGGTTCGGTTTGTTCTGCAGAGTTTCCTCTGGGGGTCCATCCACCTGCAGATGGAGGACGTGGATTATTACAGTCTGAAGTTCAAACAGAACGGTAAGAAGATGGAAGACCTCCAGAACATCTGGACAATGTGGCAGAAACTCAGGGTTCCTGAAGTTCTTTATAAAGCTTAATGTTGATTGGAGGAGTAGCGACAGTGTTGTTGTAGCACAGAACGGCCTGGTGGGGGCGGTATTGTGTCTGCAGTAACACCATGGTGGTGAAGTCAGCTTCCAGCTACTGGTTTCCATCAGTGACATCAGCTCAGATAATGATGATGATGATGATGTTTCTGTGGCTTTCCTCACTCATGAAGATCCCAGAACTAGAACCGGTAGATCAAAGCCACCAGATGTTTTACATCTTTGTTTTAATGAGACTCAGTTTGTGTTTTTTCCCCATCATGCTCCTGGGCAGAGATGGTCCTCTGTGTCAGGCTGACCAATCCCATCATGCACCTGAACACCAGAAGTCACGTGGTGGAGCTGACCTTTGACCCTGAACACCAGCAAGAGCTGGAGGAGGCCGCAGGGAGAGTCTTCAATGTACCTGTTGCTCCACCTGCATGTTGGAACAGCGCCTCCTGCTGGTCACTGCTGCCAGTGTCTGAGCCATGAGGCGAAGCTTCATCTGAGTAACTGTTGGTGTTTTCAGAAACAGGTGAGTCCATCCGGCGCCGGAGGAGCGGTCCGGACCTCGCCCTCCTCAGACATGGCTCGGTCCTACACCCGCAAGAAGCCGCCAAGCAAGAGTCAGCTGAAGAGTGAGTCAAGTTCTGCTCAGAACCTCCACCCAGATGACCGCCTGACCACCAGACATCCACAGCACCACCATGTTTACTGCCGGTCCTGGACCTGAACTGTCCACGGCTTTATGAACTCATTGTTTAGATCAGAACAAACCATCACATGACCTGGAATGAACCAATCAGAAAGATTCCAACAGCTCTGTCTCTCCCCAGTTCTACCGCTGTCGTCTCCGAGCAGCGAGGATGAGTCCACCTCACTGAAGGTAACCCCGACACCGAGCGACCGACCCAATCACCGACCAAGCTAACAACTAACCGACTTACTTGTTTATCTGGTTCTAACTCTGAGGTTTTGTTTTTCAGCCTACGGCTTCAAACCGAGCTGAAGTTCTGTTTGACCGGATCGTACACTCCACTCCTAAGTTCAGCGGTGAGTCAGTGGTCAGAGTAACCCGGCGGTGACCGGCCAGGGTGGTCTTTTGGTCCATCAGAGAGAATCTCTCAGGTTTCTGGTTCAGCTGCTTTCCAGCCACCGTTGGATCCGCCTGATGGAACCAAGGGTTCAGAAACTCACCTGTCTAACCTAGAGGAGCCCCCATCAGGTGATCTGCAGGGGGCGGAGCTTCAGACGACGCAGCACCTGACAGAGGGACTTGAAGAAGGAAGCAGCTCTCCCTCTAACAAGGTTAATTTCCTGTTTCTGACTGGAGTCAAATGTGAGAAGTTTTTCATGTTTACCTGTTTTTTTGTTCTTCTGCAGGAAAACCTGAGGAAAAGAGAAGCTTCAGATTCAGGTCTCACCTGTTCATTTACCTGGATGATGGCTGCACCAATAAAATATGTTAAAATGAATGATGGTCTCTGTTAGATGCTAGGCTCCAGTTTGACCTGGCTCTGTCCAGAATAACCAACACTCTGAACCACAGGCTACCTGTCAGACCAGGCCGAGGGCGTCGCCCCCTCCAAGAGAAAGGCGGAGCCTCTGCAGGACTGGGCGGAGTCTGAGTTGCCAATGAAAGGTAGTTTAATGTTTAGTTCAGTTTGTTTAATGTTTCTGATGCTCACCTGGCTGCCCAGCAGAGGGGGTGGAGCTAGCTGCAGAGGAGGCTCTTCAGAGTGAGGGGCCGAAGCAGAAGGTGGAGCCAGAGTCACACCTGACATCCGACATCACTGCTGCGTTCAAGTCCTTCAAAGCCCAGCTGGAGCAGCGCTTCACTGTCTGTAGCCACACTTGCTCTCCATCAGTGGCTCTGCTGCTCATCAATAATCAATAATTAACATGGCTGATTGACTCCATGATCTCAGGGCTGCTGGCAGGAGGTCCAAGCTGAGGTTCTCAGGTCCCTGAGGGACTGTCAGCAGCATGCGTCCTCACTGCTCACAGCTGTCCACCAGCACAGGTAAGTCTGACGCCACACCTGCCTCCACAAACACCACAAGCTCCGCCCACCTCCACAAACCTGCCCATCATCATAGACATGTTGTTGATGTTAGTGTTAGTGATGTTAGTCGTTCAGAACACCGGAGAGCAAAGCAGCAGATTTCTCTGCAAGGACTTTCACGGACTGGAGCGGGTCTACTCAGCAGGTCATGAACTCCTCTCGCCGCTCAGTAGCATCAAGGTGGAAGGACCTTGGATAACACAGGCTCCGTCCCCCGAAAGAACCTTAAACTTGTGTTTCTTTTAAGTTGCTGTAGCACTGTGGTGTAAGGTACTTTTTTAGGACTACTAATATAAAAGTAGCTGTTTTTAATCAATTCACTGACTTCTTTTTCTCTCTTGTTCTCGATGAAGGCGGATGCTTTTTCCCTCTGCTCCCTTCCTGCCCATTCCTGCCCTGCTTGCTCTGTTTTGTGCTGCCTTTTTCTCTTTTTCTATATTTTTGGAGCCTTTCTTTGCACATCCTCCAAATCTACAAATTATGGATCTGGTCAACCGATCTCTCAATGCAATTGATCACATTTCAGACGAGAAGTCTGGGCACAGAGAGCCTCTTGTCCTGCGGAGACGCACCCGGCGGGATTCACCCTGGATTTATTCATGATAACAGGATTTCTGCTGTTTGGAGCTTGTGGATTCCTGGATTATTGATAAATTTGTGACGGACTTGGCTGAACTAGCAAACACTCAGACTGTTGGTGTGAGTTTTAGTTAGTGGATGGAGTCGATCTTGGAGAAGTTTGGTTCAGTGGAACGACCAAAATAGTTTGGATAATTGGGAACTGAGATGTATCGGAGAGACTTTAGGGAAGATTGAAATTTATAATCTTCCCGACCTAAGACGTTCTGTTTCTGAATTGGCTTTCCCCATGTTGCCTTGGAAGGGCTGCATATTCAATCTCCTTGAAGATATGTAAACGTAACGCTCCTTCCCACCTCACCCGCTCCTGTATCCATGCAGCTGTGGAGCTGAGCGCTCCCAAGGACAATCCTTGATAACAACATCCTATTGGACTTCTGAGGCTGAGCAACGTGGTTTCATGGCCCTGTGATGTCACCACCTTCACTCATGTCTTTGTTATATCCGAATGTTGCCATTTGCCCTAATGTGTCCTTTCCTCTTTTCTGTTTTAGTTTGTTAGAAACGGTGGAGTACTCCCTATTTAACCCAGAAAAGGATTATTTTAGTTTATTAGTAATATCAGAAATTGTGGAGTACGCACTATTTAGATCAATATTATACAGCCCAGAAATTGAATCAGAATTAGAATTAGAATAACTATGAACTTGGAATCCAGAAATACTTAACAGGAACAGTCACTGTTTAGTTTATACTTTACTTTAAACACAGAAAAGGATTTAGAACAAACTTAGAATTGTGGAGTTTAACTCAGAAAAGGAATTAGGTCAGTCACTCTTTAGATTATTTTATCAGAAACTGTAGAA